CAGGGAGCCCGATGCGGGACTCGATCCCGGGACTCCAGGATCATGACCTGAGCTGAAGGCAGTCGCTTAACCAACTGAGCCACCCAGGCGCCCTTCGTGGGTATTCTTGATCTGCCCTTTGTCTGTCAGTTTCTTTGCCTACTTTTTTCTGTAACATTGAACGGCCTGCTTCTGGAGAATTCTGCTCCAGGGCCTGGCATTTGCAAAGGTGCTTCTTCTCTCTTAGCGACCTCCCTCAACTATGTCGACTTCTTGTGGCACTTCCAATCATCCTTCATAGATCATGTGTCAGAGTCGTGGCTGGGTTTTTGTTTCCTAGTAGGTAATGTTTTCTGGCTTTGTTTGTTTTGTTGTTCTTGATTTTCAGAGGGTGCAATCCGGTCAAGATAACCATACTCTTTCCTCCTTAAATGGGAGTCCCTTAGGTGGTATTTGAAGTTGATCCAGGACCCAACCCTAAAAAACCTGAGTGTTTAGAGATCATGAGAAAAGGAGGGGCCAGCAAAGGAGATGGAGGAGGAAAACTCAGAGAAGGTGGCCCCACGGAAGCCGTGAGAAGAGTGTGTTGAGGAAGCAAGAGTCAGTATCAAAGGCTGCTGAGACACCAAGTAAGGTGAAGACAGAGAATCAGCCAGGGGATTCAGCAGTGTCATTGGGAACTAGCTTTGGGCAGCAGGCTGGAGTTGCTTGAGGAGATAGTAGAAGGCAGAGAGATGGCTTGTGCCGGTGGACACGTTTCCTGGGCAATATGAATGTTCCCAGCAACTCAGGATTTCATGTACATTGAAGAGGGAAGGAAAACAGGCCAAATCAATGTGATTAAGCAGCTCCTATCTGAAAGCGTACGTTCTCATGAAATAAGTAATATTTACTCATGAATGAAGATTCTCTTGAATACTCAGTATACTATTCACAGAGAATTTTCCTCCTGATTGTAATTGATTTCATGTTGTTTAAGTAGTCAGCCAAGGACAACACTGAATTCTGTTAGTGGGTGAACCGACCTTGGAAGCCTCGAGGGTACCTCTGAAATCTCATCGTCTGAAGTAAATTCCCTCTTCTCCTCCACCCAGCTCAAAGTTAAATATATTTTTGCCCTTCATGTACAGTAAGTGTTCGGATTCTGTCCAATTTCCCTTTGAAGTAACTCACATTTCCCTTTCTCTCCTTTCTGCTGCCATTCTCGGCCTTATTGACCTCTTTAGCTAGAACAGTCTTCCCTGATTCCTTATTTCCAGTCACGTCGAATTTAAACCTCCCCAGCCTGGCTTTCAGAGCCTTTCACAGCAGTAGAATCCAACTCCCTCCTACTTACCCAGCTGTTGCCTTACATTCCCTGACAAAGGCTTTCTGCTCTAGGAAGGCCAGCCTCCCTCCTGTTCTTCCAGTCTTGCCACGTGGTTCTGCCTTCACGCCGAAGTTCCTGTCGAGCTCACCTTAGTCCACAGCTAGCACTTCATTATCTGTAGGATCAGTTGATGTATACACCCCCCCACTCCCCAGGGTCATACTTCTCTGTACGGTTGTGCCCATGACTGATGTGAAGGAGCCCCGAACATCTCGACTTCCTGTTGTACCTTATCTTTTGTATAAATGATGTGCAAATTAATGGAACTATTTTTTTAAAAAAAAATGTTCCAGAATTCCTGTACAAGACTGTTTTCCTCCAAAGGCATTACCTTTACATCTTCTCCATGGCTACTCATTAGTTCAAACATGTTTTAGGGGCCCCTGGCTGGCTCAGTCAGAAGAACAGGCGACTCTTGATCTTGGGTTGTGAGTTTGAGCCCCACGTTGGATGTAGAGATTACTAAAAAATAAATAAACTTGGGGCACCTGGGTGGCTCAGTCGGCTGAGTGTCTGCCTTCGGCTCAGGTTGTGGTCCTGGGGTCCTGGAATCAAGCCTGTGTGGGGCTCCCTAGGTCTGCGGGGAGCCTGCTTCTCCCTCTCCCTCTGCCTGCTGCTTCCCCTGCTTGTGCTCTCTCTGTAAAATAAATAAGTAAAATTTAAAAAATAAATAAACGTAAAAAAAACTTTTAGAACCTTTTTGTTTCATTTAGAAGCCAGTGAAAATACCTGGCCCATTCAGTAATTATCTTTAAACTTCTTAAAGAAATTGAGGTTTTGTTGTTCTTTGGGTTTTTTTTAAGAAAGGGAAAGAGTGAGTGTGTATGAACAGTGGGTGGGGGAGAGCAGAGGGAGAGAGAGAATCCTCAGCAGGCTCCACACCTAGCATGAGCCAGTGCAGGGCTCGATCTCACAACTCTGAGATCATGACCTGAGCCGAAATCAAGAGTCAGATGCTCAACCAACCGAGCCACCCAGGCGCCCCAAGAAATCCAGTTTTAAAAATCAGTCGCTGTTAAGCTATTTTAAGTATTTTGGAAGTTCTAAAGAAAAAACAAATCTGAACAGAGCGAAGACCAAAATGTCAGTGTCGGAAATGGGACTATCAAGAGTGGCTTCCTGGAGGAGCTGAGGCTTAGGCTTTTGAAAAGAGTGAGAATGGGCTGAGCAGATGGGTGAAGAAGAGACTAGGTGGGGAGAGGGTATTGTAGGCAGAATAAACCCCATGGCCAAACCATGAACTGTAACAAACCTTGGGTACTCTAAGTAGCTCATTAATATAACAGCAGGAGTGACTGAGACAGAGAGGGGGAATAGGGAGGGTTTGATAGGTCTATGTGTCGTGGTTAGTTAGGAGAGCCAAGTGAAAGGAAATATGGAGGACAGGGCACAAATGGCCTCGTGGGCTTTGCTCTGGACTTTGCGTACTCTTTAGGTTCCTCTTGGGAAGGGGTGTGTTGTGATCATCTTTGCCAACACAGTGCATGCCTTTATTATCTTACCTGTCATATTGTTATTATTTATTTGCAATACTTCCCTGCTCTTTATTCATTTTTTAATTCCCAGAGTCAGGCCTGGTGTCTGGCACATAATAGATATTGAATAAATGTTTGAAGAATGCATTATAAAAGTTTGTCATAAAAGCTTTTCACAAAGAAGGCATAAAAATGCCTTCCTTGGTCTTTTGTAAGAGATGGCATCACCCTGTTTATTGTTGAGAATAATTAACAGTAGTTCCTTACGGAGGCATACCAAGCAGGTGACTACATTACCTGAGTGCTAACTTCTTAACCCAAGGCTTTCCAAAAGCAAACTGGAATACTGCATTGGTGTTAAAGTGTATACTGGCGCCATCTCGCGGTGATTTTAAGCCTTAACCAAATTGAAAGCTTCGTCTGTGATAACCAGAGTTTCAAACAAGTTTCTAACATTTTATAAATTACCGAAGTATTGTATTTAATACTATATTTTGTTGACCCTTTGCCACTATCTTCACACTAACAGTTTTGGATTTAATGTTTTATACATGTATTTTAATTGTGTTTTACAAACATGATGTCTAGAAGTTTTGATAAGCAAAATATTCTATTTGAAATAAAATGGAATTTCATCATTAGGCATACCTGGAGTCTTAGACCAGCATTCTGATCTCAGATGCTATTTGCTGTGTCTTAGTTCACAGAGTTCCAGCCTTGTGAGGTAATCTTTTTTTCCCCTAACATCCTTCTTTATTTTTTTTTCCTGGTTGGACATTGTTTCTAAAACTAAAGAATCATGTTCTTTTAATTCTTATCCTTGAAGACAGCTGTTGAGCGTGTCCTGCAAATTTGGTTAAGCCAGAATGGCTTGGGTAGTGAACCTTAGCTTTTTATTATTTGTGTGGGTGTTTGAACATGAGTTATGTAGACATTTTGCTTTTGACTTGTTCGTTGATTAACAGCTGAGTCAGGGAATCAGATTATGATCATTGAATTAATTCCTCATGTGTAGGGATTGCTGTGATTTAAGTAGCAATGTTAATATAAAATAAAAGTGTTTTTTTAAATTGTGTTGTTTTTAAATTTTTTATTGTTATGTTAATCACCACACATTAAAAGCGTTTATTAAAAATATTTTTCATGCAGAGCATAATTGGAAGCTTAAGATTAATTGCCCTTTTTTTTTTAAGTACTTACTCAATGCCAGAGGGAGAGAGGGGTATAATTATCTCCATTTTACAGATGAATCTGAAACACATGGAGGTGAGGTAGCTTTCACAAAGTCTCACAGCTATTATATTTGCAGTGTGAGCATTCAGACCCAGATGTAGAGGACCCCAGAGTCCAGGCTTTTAACCACCATATAAACTCTGTGTCCAACAATGAGGGAGGATTCATAGGAAAACCATAGTAGAAAAATGCACAAGACAACCTTAAAGTGGTTATTAATAGCTTTTATTTAAATATACACTAATTAATAAAAATCTTGGCTTTAATTTATTGTTGACATTATCAGCATCTGCTTGTTTCTACTCCTAATTATAGCCAACAGCCTTCATTCCATTGTGAAGGAAGTTGAAGGTCCTGCACTGGTCCTAAGCAAGAGTGCTTTGAGGCACGGTTGCTATCTGTGGATGAGCATTTTGCCCGTCTCGGCACTCCCTTCATTCTCGGATACAAACTGTGTCTACCTGTGCCTTTCAGCAGGGGGCGTGTGTTGGCAACAGGTTGTGTAGAAACCTCCATTTGGGTGTTGGCCTGGTTGATGGATGTCTATGTGTCAGTTAATATATATAGGGTGAATAGATAACGGGTTTTCTAAATTTTACATTTAAATTTTTTCTTTGTAAATATAGACACATAATTTTGTGCAGTTGCAGTCATATCATATATGCCAGGTTGTGGTGTTTTTTTTTTTTTTTTCCTTTGTTCCTGTGGCTTCCTTCCATCCACCCACATGGCCTTCCTCCTCATCACCCTGTTGTATGTATAAAAGGGTACATAAAACATAACAAGTGGTCTTCCATATTTTTCCATGCTTGTGTAATCATTTGTCAAATATATCTATGTGCAGTTAGACAGCCAAATCATCTATGGGGCAGCATGCTAGCGTTTTATGGTAAAAAGGTGCGATCATGTTATAAATACTTTTAAAAATACACATACCTTTCAACCAGCTTTCCCACAGAAATGAAAGCATTGATTTGTAAGATTATGTGTCAGGAGTATTTTCTACAGTATTATTGATAATAGCAGGAAGGAAGGGGCATGATTGAATAAAGAATGATAATCTATACCGTGAAATTTTAGGCAGTCGTTCAAAATAATGAATTTGATGTGTGCCAAAAGCATCTCCTCTACCATTCTCTCTGTTATGAATTTTAGCATTCTTACTCCTTTACTGACATTTTAGTGTGGTTTCAAGAGGGAGAACAAAAGAAACATATTGGGACAGTTGTCTTTATAATTGCAAATCTGGCTAAGTAGATTACAAGACCTGCTTTAACTTCTATTTCTTTTCTTAGTAGAGCTCTTAGTGTAGAGCCCCTTCTGGTCCTTTTGTATTTGGAAATAGGGAATATCCAGCCTCCCCCAAATTACATTCTTTCTTCTTTCTTGGCTTTTAACTCCTACTGGTCTTTTCTACCAGCAGCATCTAAAGGGGCACAACCTTAAGCATTGTCTCTAAAATTAAATTCAGAATCAATGAAATGTCAGTTCAGAAACTGTTCCTGGGACACTTGGATCTTAGAAATGAGACTCTTAGGAAAGAGAGCATTTCTATATAACCACAGCTACTCTTCTGTTTCTTTTGCTTCTGTATAGATTTGAAAAAGGGCGCATCTACACATTCATTGGAGAAGTTGTTGTCTCTGTGAATCCTTACAAGTCTTTGAACATCTATGGGAGAGACACAATCGAGCAGTATAAAGGACGTGAGCTGTATGAGAGACCTCCTCATCTTTTTGCAATTGCTGATGCTGCTTACAAAGCTATGAAGAGGCGCTCAAAAGACACTTGTATTGTGATATCAGGTATTCAGAGGGGATCCCCTGTACTTTCAAGGTCAAAATGCATTTAACTTATTAGGTACTCAAGGATCCAAACTGTTAAATCTTTTTTTTTTTTTTTTTGAAGTTAGAAACATAAGCAGTTTTATAGGAGAAAAAAATTTTCAGTGAACACCAGATCATTTCTGACGGATGTCTAGTCTTGGTTCATTTATAAATCCATGTTACATGTGGATGGACTTCTGATCATGAAAGATTCTTCCTCCTGTCTCAAGGACAGAAAAGTACTGGATAAAATGTAACGAAGGTTATTTTTTTTTAAAGATTTTTATTTATTTATCTGTCAGAGAAAGAGAGGGAGAGAGGCAGGGAGAGGGAGAGAGGCAGGCAGAGGGAGAAGCAGACTCACCGCTGAGCAGAGAGCCCTATGTGGGGCTCGATCCCAGGACCCTGAGATCATGACCTGAGCCAAAGGCAGACGCTCAACCGACTGAGCCACCCAGGTGCCCCACAAAGGTTATTTTAAATAACAGCAGAATGAAAGGAAGAAAATGAAATCCTGAGGTACAACTCAAAGTCAGATTGGCAAGTGGGAGTTAGTGTCACGGGCCATCCAGGCATGGGGACCAGAAATGGGCTGTCCCAGCTGGAGGCTGGAGCTTCAGAGCCTACGTAGCAGGGAGACAGGTGATAGACCCTGTGTGCCCGGGAGCTGGAGCTGAGCTCTTCGCGGAATCTCATGTAGTGTGAATTGGGGATAGGGAAAGCATCTGCCCGCTGACCCCGGATGGCCTCTCCCACACTGTGGGAATGTATTTTGGTGCTAATAATACCTCACATCTGCATTAGGGGCTTTATACTTGTAAAACTGCTTTTATGACCCTTACTCCATTTTGGTTATCAAAACAATTCTGAGTGCTAAGACAGTTGTGTTTCTACTTTATAGATGAGAATATTAAGGGTCAGAGGAGTTATAATAACTTAGTATTGGAGAATCATATCCTAGGACTACATTATATTCAATTATGAAAGCAATACTACCTGATTATAAAAGGAGGGAGGGAGTAATCAATCATTTAAGCATACAAAGTAAAAGCAAAAAGTCTCTCCTCTTTGAATACCTTGTTACCCCCAAAACTCCAGCAGTAACAGCTGTGAATTTAGTGTTTATCCTTTTTATACATTTTTCTGTGTGTATAACACATATAGTCATACATGCATATTAAATTATATTATAAATGTGTAACTGTGTTACAGAATTATGTTATAACTACTATTATGTAACTTGTTTTTCTGTTTAACACTATGGAGTGGACATCTTTTCTTTCTTTCTTTTTTTTTTTTTTTAAAGATTTTATTTGTTTGAGAGAGAGAGCACAAGCCAGGGGAGAGGCAGAGGGAGAGGGAGAAGCAGACTCCCTGCTGAGCAGGGAGCCCAATGCAGAGCTCAATCCCAGGACCCTGAGATCATGACCTGAGCCGAAGGCAGACGCTTAACCGACTGAGTCACCCAGGTGCCCCGCAGAGTGGACATCTTTTCATTAGCATGCCTATAGGAGTGGGGGACTGTCTAACACCTGTGCAATATTCCATTGAATAGTTGAATCCTTTATCTGCCCATTCCTCTACTGACAGGCATGTTATTTGCAGGTTCAGCTGTGACACACAGTATAGTCTGCAGAAATACTCCTTAAGTCTTTAAAGATTATAATAATTATTATTTGATCCCATTAGTATTTTTACTATTTCTGTAGTATAAATTTCTACAAGTGGAATTTGGGGGTCAGAAGGCATACACACTTAAAAATTGGGGTAGCTCGTTCTAAACTGATCCCTTCTGCTCATCTTATACCAGTTGTCCTGCTTTTCCTGTGACGCCATGTCTGGAGCTTGCTGTTTGGTTTGGTTTTATTTTCACTAAAATTGCTCTGACTTTAATTTTTGGAAGGAATATTTCATCCTTGTTAAGATGAAAAGAAATTTGCTGAAGAGCATAAGGTTATATGAACTGGGACGCCTGGGTGGCTCAGTCATTAAGCGTCTGCCTTTGGCTCAGGTCATGGTCCCAGGGTCCCGGGATCGAACGCTGCGTGGGGCTCCCTGCTCAGCGGAAAGCCTGCTTCTCCCTCTCCCCGTCCCTGCTTGTGTTCCCTCTCTTGCTGTGCCTCTCTCTGTCAAATAAATAAATAAAATCTTAAAAAAAAAAAAAGTTATATGAACTTAGCCATGGCCAGTGTTTGAGTCACTAGCTTGTTTTGTTTCTGCTGTGCTTAAAAGTCACTGCCAAGCACCAAGACTCTGGTCTCAGGAATTCATTTACCCCATTTTATCCCTTGATATTTTCTACTTAGTACATCTTAACTTGTAATCTGTTTGTTATTTTACTTCTATAATAGGCTTATTTTTTTCTCAGCATTTTCAGGGCTGTTAGAACCTAGACTGTATCAAGACGGGAGGAAATCACTCATAAAAAAAAAAGCGATGTAACATAAATAATTTTAAGTAAATAACATCAAAATTTGCAACTATTCTGTTACAAGTCAGCTTACTGTTGGTTTCAGTGACAGTGTTAAGCCTTGCACAACTTTTCCCGCAGGGGAGAGTGGTGCGGGTAAGACGGAAGCCAGTAAGTACATTATGCAGTACATCGCGGCCATCACCAACCCCAGCCAGAGAGCCGAGGTGGAGAGGTAAGGGCGGTACGAAGATGGGGAGATGCTCTCTTTGGGGCTTCACTTTCTGCACACACTTGCCAGGGCCGAAGCTCGGATACGGAGCCAGCATTTGTTGATGATTAAATACTATCTCTGCCCTTTGATCTGTGTCACCCTATTTCTATATTCGCTTCTTCGTAGAGAAATACTGCTTGGTAAGCTTTACCTAAATAGGAAACGAGGTAATGCTGCAAGAGCTGGAAGTTTCCCCACTCCACCTGTAACTGCTGCCTTCGGCGTCACAGGTGCTCAGCTAAGGTCTTCCCGCGGGCAGATGTCATTGTTCAAGTTGTCTTTGTTATGCTGTCTTCTGAGGAGCCCTGGGTTCCTGGAGGGAAAGGGGGCTCCGGGACGCAGATCCATGCCTTCCCTGAATTGCATTGTCACAGCCCAAACCCCTGATATTAGAAACACTAAGAATGATTCCTTTTTCTTTCTAAGTTTCATGCCAGGCTGCTGTCAGCGTATGACAAGGATGCAGACTACTGGGCGCTGTCTGCGGGACCCGGCTTTTAGCACTGAGCGCCACGTAGTATTTTCTTAATCCATTTGTAAGGAACGAATGGATGGGGGTTTTTTTGTTTTTGTTTTTGTTTTAAGAAAGAAATGTGGCGATAAAGTAACATGACTTAACTTTCTTCTATGGTGTGCACTTTTTGAGAGAAAAAAAGATTTTCAGAGTTGCTAGTGTGAAGCTCAGTATTTGTTTTCCGAAGAGTCCCCTCCGCATGCACATCTCAGCCTTCAGTTTATGACTAGAAAAGAAAGGATGCAGGGTTGGTATGAAAGAAGGCGGTGTAGACTAGACTTACCCTTCCAGGGCTTTCCTCATTTCTACATAACTGGGCTGGAGGTCAAAGAGACCTTTTTCTTGACTGTGACACATCCCCACTTCTGATTCTGAATTTGCAATCTCCTATGATGAAGACACGAATATGAGTCAGTTATCTGAATTTCTGTAGAAGCTCAGGAGAACTAACTTTATTTTATTTCTAAAGCCAGTTGGTATAGTAGAGTCAGGCATGTGTACATTGACTAGTGTTTCATGGGCATATCTTACTATAGTTTTAAAGATGGTTGCCTTTGTTTACCATAAGCGTGCAATCCCCCCTCCCCACATTTTAAAAGTATACTTTCATGTGGGAGGAGAGAAGCTGGCAGGGTTATGGGGTGACTTAGAGTCATAGAGGATCTGCTACATTAGTTTATTTCAGTGGCCAGTGTGATTCCTGCAGGTGTGGCCATGCTAGAGGAGTTTTGCCAGGGAAATAAAAACAAAGACTTAAGGACTAGCAGAAAGTTAAAAAGTATCCATTGGGAGAGACTGTGCTATAGAAAGTTAGCATTCATTGAATAAGGAATGAATGTGTCACCCATTCTTTCTTTTCAGAACACATCTTTTTAAGATTTTTCTTTGTCAATAAAACATGTTCACTTAAAAACTAAAAATTACAGCATTTTGTCCAAGGTGGAAGTCCCCCGAAATCCCACTGTACATACCCTGTCAAGCTAGGTCCCTATAGTGAAATGTACTAGCCTTTCCCGATTTTTAAGTAGTTACTGACCTATGTGCTTGCCCACACACACTCACGTGGACACATGCACAGACCCACAAAGACCCTGCAACACATGTTATTTTGCAACCTAATTTCTCATTCATTAGTTTATTCTGGACCTCTTTCTCTGTCAATGCATCCTATACTAGGAAAAAAGTTTTTTTATCCAACCCTACTAGTGGACATTTAGGGTTTGTTTTAATATTGCAAACAATGCTGCAGTCAGCATCTTTGTATAAATGTTTGGATGTGCTTTAACAAAACCTGGTTTTTCTAAAAGGCCCAGCCTCTAAACTTTTTATGATGACTTTCATTTATCTGTGCCAAAGAGTGAAGAATATGTTGCTTAAGTCCAACTGTGTCTTGGAAGCTTTCGGAAATGCCAAAACCAACCGTAACGACAACTCAAGTAGGTTTGGAAAATATATGGATATCAACTTTGATTTCAAGGGGGATCCTATTGGTGGACATATCAATAACTACTTATTGGAGAAGGTAAAATGTGCTTAATTTCTGAGGGTAATGTTTTCCAGTGCTGAATTTTTTTTTAAACCTAATCATGTGTATAGAATTTTTTAAATTACTTAAAAGTAGTTTTAAATCCTATCCTCCTGCTCCTCAGTTCCTTTTCTGTGACAAGATGCTCTTCTTCTTAGCTCCTACAATATCAGGGTGGAAAAAGTTTGGGCTTCGTAGATAAGGATTTAGGTGTGTATGTGTGGCCAGGAGTGGGAGTGGATGTGAATGCATGCCAACTTCTGGGTAAGATTTGACCAAAACACAATCTAGGACTAATCAGTTCTACTCTTTTGACACATCACCATTGCCCACATGTTTTCCTGCTGTTGTCCTGAACGCAGCGCAGAAAAGCCAGCCCACCCATTGATGTTCTTTTCACAGAATTATGCCCGTAGAACTCTCCTTTTTTAAGTGAGATATAATTGATATTTGACACCACGCACATTTAAGGTATACAACACACTGACTTGATACTTCCATGTATATTTATTTTAATGAACCTGAATCTCATTTTCTTCTGGTTTCTGTGTGTTCATAGCGTCCTTTATGACAGTGTAACACAGCAAAATCTATTTCTGTTTGTTAAATCGATGTCAAACCATTAAGGAAATAAGGGTTTTTATCAGTGTCAGTTACAAAAGGACTGGAAATGCCTGGTGTTATCAGTCTTTTTCCAAAATGTTTCGTGGCTTCACTTTACATGCAGGGTCCCTCAGAAGGACCCCTCCGAATGAACGTACACTGTGAGACCTCTCAACAGCAGGCTTTCGGGGGCCATCTAAGGCAGGGGCCTCCATAGATTGGTCTTGCTCAACTGATTTTCCTGCAGGACATAAGGCATTGCTCTTTGAAATGCCAGCAGACCCTGGGGACCCTGAACATCCTTTCCTGTTCTCCCACGTCCAATCCTCTTCCCCCTAAAAATCTCGTCTTTAGGCTCCAGGTTTAAAAAAAAAAAAAAAAAGACTTCATTGTCATAAAGTTTAGGGAATTCTGTTTTAAGCAGTAAAAAGAATATTAAAAGTTGCACAGAAAACCCCACAGAGGAGGCCTAGTTTTAGGTGGGTAATCCATGGGGTCTTTAGGACATTTAAATGCACTATTGATAGGCGATTTCCTGAGAACTTGACTTGCACTTTGTTTTCGGGGTGCATTCTCAGATTAATGATTTAATGTGGTTTTTTTTTTTTTTTTTTTAGTCTCGAGTGATTGTGCAACAGCCAGGATTTTTTTTTTTTTTTTTTTAGTCTCGAGTGATTGTGCAACAGCCAGGAGAAAGAAGCTTTCATTCTTTTTATCAGGTTAGTATCCGCTACTGTGCAGGTAATCCATCATTGGCCCAGTTGTACCGGGAATGAATATTTTATGTTGGGACTCTCCCCTGTCCTGTGCCTCCTTTGCCTCCATTGGCCCAGGACACATTACACACGTGTACATGCATGCACACACCGTAGCCCACGTGCTGCTTCAGATATTTGATGAGCATGATTATTATAAAGAGCTAGCAGGTGGTTAACCCACCAGATGACTTGACTGCCTTGGTTGAGCATCACCTCCATTTTTTGGCAATGTAGAGAACAGTTTAATATCTGTAAAAGTTTTTGAAATGGTAAATTCTGGATATGTTAAATTAATTGTGTTTTATTTTGAATTGAAGCTGTTGTTCCCGTATTTGGGAGCCCAGAGACAGGAATACAGTTCCAGTTTATTTTGCTCATGGTGGCTATAAAGCAATATGATTACTTAAAACAATTATGAATTCAAGGGAGAATTGTCGTCTTTATCCCATCAAAGCTGTGATTGCTTAGAAAAAAATTTGATACCTCTTTTGAGAATGCTTTTAGAGTCAAAGGCAGAATCTTTTAAAGTAGCCTTTCTGTTAACAAGTCTGTGCTCAGAGAACAAGTATGATACATAATTAAAATTTTTAAAGCCCCAAGTAACATGAACCACTGCTAAGAAATTAAGTGGGTGATCAAATGAAGCAATGCTGTTTGAGATTTTTTAAAAGTAAAACTATAAATCAGTACGATTGATTTCCATATGGAGACAGTCTCTGCAGGGGATGAGCAGTGTCAGCATAAGTTGAATACAATTCAGCCGGGTTTAATCTTTTCTAGGTAACTGTTTTAACAGACAGTGCTCATTTGTATATACAAGTTCTGGTATATTTAGTTTTAAAAGATCACTTTCGAAAATCTGATAATTATACCTTTTAAGTAAAACAAAGCATACAGTTTAATGTAGAAAATTTAAACGTAGTGCCTTCCAAAGGTATGTTCTATAAATAAGGGCTACGCATCCATATTGTATTCGTGTTTTTGTTGACAATTCACCATGTTTTCCTTAAACTGTTTTTCTACCGAATATAAAAGAGTTCTTTTCATGTCCAGAACCCATACACTCTTCCCAGTGTTTTTCCTACTTGGATGAATGTGTTAAAATTTGTCTTTGTTCAACCCTTCAGTCGTGGGTATCCAGTGGTGTTCCTTTCCTGACAGAGATTGACGAGGAAAGGCTATTTGTTTCCAGTGTGATTCAGCATGTGACTGCCTGCTGATACCTCTTACTTCCACAGCAATATTGACTTTTTCTGAATTCTGAAACACAACTCTATCTTGTCTGGATAATGAGGCCACTAAGCAAGTGACCACCACAATGCATAAGCTCCTGTTTAACAAATGATCATAGTAAAAGCAAGATTACCATTGTTACAATATTTGATGTACTTGGCTCAGCGTGTATTTTGCCAATTTATTTCTAATTAAATATTTTTTCAGCTACTTCAGGGAGGTTCAGAGCAGATGCTATGCTCTCTACATCTCCAGAAATCCCTGTCATCCTACAACTATATCCATGTAGGCGCTCAATTAAAGGTAAGGGCTTCCTCTCTGAGATACAGAATCAGACAAAAAACCGGAGGGGACATTAAGTAATTCTCTGGTCCAGCCTGCTGCCTTTAAGCAAATGAGTGACTCTTTTCTTCCATTCTGGTTTTTAAATTCTCAGGGACAGAGACTGACTGCAACTTCACTTCAACAACTTCACTTAATAACCATTTCTGTGTTTCATTGCCATCTGACGGAAATGAAGTTTCTCTCTTGTGATCTTGTGGGTTTTTTTCAATCCTATTCCTTTTGACACTGTAAAAATATTGATATGACTAGGAAATCCACCTCAGAGAAAGATGCCATATGGTTTGGCCACAGGCAAGTTGGGAAGACAGAAGGAACTTTAAAAGCACCCTGGTTGAAAATGAGTATCAAAGATCTCCTCCATTCACTATTTTTTCAAGTACTGATTTTGACATATCCTGGAAATAGTTTTGTGACCCTGGATCATTTCTATTCAGCCTTCAAATTTTAAGTTTTTTTCCCTTCACTTGCATATGGGCCTTTTGCACTCCCATATGCAGATGCTTTTCTGCTCTTTTATTTCTAATTAGTGTTCTGCTAGTCACTTTACAGCTCATCCTAATAATATAGTAGTCTGTTGATGGTAGACTATAAACTGGTAATTACAATATTATCCTACTTTGTCAGAGCAAGGTACATAAATACATAAAATAAGATATGGAGGGAAGGTTTTAATTACTGATTCTGAATGGCTGAGATTACAGGTATCTGTGTTCTTGTACTTTTCCATGTTTTAAATTTGTTTTGTAATAAAAAAAATGCATTGCTTTTGTAGTCAGGGGAGAAATAAAAGAATTTGTAAAAGGAAAGAAAGGAAAAGGATCTAAGATGTGGGAGGTGTTTCCTTTTTTATTTCTATTATTCATCTAAAGCGAATTATACATGCATTACCTGATTAGCTGTATTTTTATTGCCATGCATAGAAATAAATGATATTTAGGCTTTCCCGATTAATTTTCCATTGTTTGACATTCAAGTTGCATGGGTTTTTTTTGTTTTGTTTTGTTTTACTTTTACAATCATCTCAGAGTAGGATGTCTGGGTGAAAATTAATTGAAAACAAGACAATAGAGGGCAGCACTTGAGCTTTCTGAGAGTAGGCCAACAGTGCTCAGAGATGCGGAAGGGATTGTGAAACCAGCACTTAAAAAGCCAATGACCAGAAATGTTCCTCTTTAATCAAATTGTCTTACTGACCAAATTACTTTTGGCCCGATCATGTAGCACTGCCACAGAAAGCAAGTATTAAATGAACATTTAGCCTTTGCCTGAAGCTAAATGTAACTTTGGTTTTCTTTCATCCAGTTCCCATTTCTTTCTCCCTGCCTCCTTTGTTTTTCTCTCTTACAAAAAAAAAAGACATAATGTGTGATCATAGTCAAAACCTAAATAAAGATATACCAGAAGAAAAGAAAAAATATACTAAAGCTTACCTTCCAGAGATAGTTATTGATGATGGTATGAAAATTTATTTTATTTTTTTTTAAGATTTTATTTTTAAGTAATCTCTACACCCACTGTGGGGCTCAAACTCATGAACCGGAGATCAAGAGTCACATGCTGCTGTGACTGAGCCAGCCAGGTGTCTCTATGTATATATATTTATAAATGAAATCATGCAATAAATTCTGATGAAATAAATTTGCTTTTATTAAATGACTATTTATTAATATCTTCCCATTAACAATTAAATATGTTAATAGAATGATTTTAATAACTATAAAGTATTATACCGTGTATCACAATTTTACTTAATTATCCTAAAAATATAGGAAAGAGTGTACAATTAAGATACTTTGGGTTTGGGACGCCTGGGTGGCTCAGTCGGTTAAGCGTCTGCCTTCGGCTCAGGTCATGATCCCAGAGTCCTGGGATCAAGTCCCGCATCGGGCTCCCTGCTCCGCGGGGAGCCTGCTTCTCCCTCTGCCTCTGTCTCTCATGAATAAATAAATAAAATCTTTAAAAAAAAAAAAAAAAGATACTTTGGGTTGAAGGGGAAGATAAAACCAAATGAAAGTCTTCCAAAACAATAAGAAATTTTAATTTATCTCATGTAACTCAGAGAAACCCTGAGATGGGACAGTTCCAGAGTTGGTTAATTTAATGCCATCAGTGTTGGTAGGGACCCAGATGTTGTTTGTTTCTCCAACTTAAAACTCTCCCATCCTCACTGGATTTGACTTGTGTGCTTACGCTGATTTTCCTCATGGCCCCAAAATGGCAGCTGCAGTTCCAGAAGTCATAGGCAGAGGATATGATCCTGGCTCATGTCCCTTTGTAACTAGGGAAACCTCATGTCTTATTGACCAGAATAGCATCACAAGCCCATGGCTGGTCAGTCCCTTGGTAATGGGAGTAAGATCACCATGATAGTTTCTGCCCATGAAGATTTGCCTCCTGAGGCTGCGGGGTAGACCAGTCCTGAAGGACAAGTATACTTGGAGAGAGGTGAACAAATCAGTGTTCTAGCAGCCAATAGTTCCCCACAGTAGGACATTTAGACTTTCTGTCTAGTTTTTATGCAGTTTCAGCACAGTTGCAGTTTATAATAATAGTTCTATCTGATACTTGTCTAGTGCTTTTTATGTGCTAGGAACTAGGGAAGTGCTTTACATAATTCTCATCCAATTTTCACAACAACCCTGTATTGTTGTGCCCATCTTACCCATGAGGAAACTGAGACTCGAGGAGGTTAAGTATCTTGCCCAAGGTCAAAGAACCAGGTAGGTGGAGGGACTTGCCTTGTCATGTCCTGGATACTAGAGGAACAGGTACTCATCAGGCACAGAGGACCCCTTCCCATGTGCCTCCTCAAAAGATGAGCGTCAGGCCAGGTCCTCTGTGTCCCTGCCAGAGGAGAAATGCACCAAGGAAAAGATCAGTCAGGCCTTCTGCAGCTGCTGCTCTGGGAAAACTTTCTTGAGATAGGTCGTTACCATTGCTTCACTGTAAATTTCTGTTGATGTGTTGGTATTTCCAACCTGATGGCTATAGCTCCTTGAGGCTGGCGATTTATCTTTGATTGTTCCAGTTGGGCTACTACAACAAAAATACCATAAATTGGGTGGCTTATATACAGCGAATGTTCGTTTTTCACTGTTCTAGAGGCTGGGGAGTCAAAGATTAAGGCACCTGCAGATTTGGTGAGGGCCTTCTTCCTGGTTTATAGGTGGAGCCTTCTCTATGTCCTCACAGGGCAGAAGGGATGAGGAATTTAGGGCCTCTTACAATGGCACTAATCCCATTTATTGAGGGCTCCACCCTCATGACCTAATTACCTCCCAAAGGCCCTACCTCCTAATTCCATCACCTTTTGGGGGCGGGGGGTATCAGGATTTCAACATATGAATTTTAGGGGGATACAAACATTCAATCTAGAGCAGCCCCCTCGAACCAGTTAGAAGATCTGATGCACCAAATGTTTGTGAAAAGTGGTTGTAGTCCCAGAATATCTAATAGCTTGCTGAATGATTGAGGCAGCCCACTCTGCTTTGGGGGACGGGGGCCTTCTTTTCCTCACCTGTGAGGTAAAAAGCCTGACCATCCAAGAGAAGGGAGTATTATTCCCAGACTTTACAAGACTAATTGTGGAACAAAAAGCCATTGGCAACAATAGTCAGGCGTGTGTCTTCGAGAAGCTCCCATGGTCAGTATTTCCATTTGTGAATCACATCCCATGTTTTCTTCACTCATTACAGAGTGGCAGTCAGCTTCTGTGAAGCAGCTCAGGACTTGCTCCCTTATTGAAGATTCCAGAAAAGTATGTCACGCCTATTTTATGTGATAGTGGCTCTCACACACAAATGGTGCTGAGTGATATTTCTACTCTTGAAATAATTTTATTTTCTCTGGGTACTTAGTGACTTACTACAAAAGCATCAAGACCTTGGCTAAACTCGAATGTAGTCTCATAATTGATAGATTTTAATGCCCATATGAAATGTCAGTGACTTAAGTTTTCCATTTTCATTCCCAGTCTTCTATCAACGACGCTGCAGAATTCAAAGTAGTAGCTGATGCCATGAAAGTAATTGGTTTCAAACCTGAGGAGACTCAAACGGTGTATAAGATTCTGGCAGCCATTCTTCACTTGGTGAGTAGGGACACCTTTCAGAATATATTGCCTCCCTGTGGAGACAGGATGCTCTTTCAGAAGATTTTGCTTTTTCCCTGCAGATTTAAAAACTAATTTATATAAAGAAAATTTCTCTTACGTTTTGAAGCAATTACTGTCTGTGGTTCTCTCCATCATTTTATAATATTATGAGGAATTTTCGAAGTCACTGTAGGTTTTGAAACTTAGCTTTAATTCATTGTCTTACTGGTATGTCAGATTTTGAACTGTTTCATTCTGAGGATAAAAGAATTCAGTAATGATATGACCACCAATGGTAAAAGCTAAAATCTTTTGAACAGAATACATTTCCAGTAGCACTTGAAGCGTAGAATCATAAATAATCAGAATTAGAATCCTGACCATCTCATTTTTCAGGTTAGGAAATGAGCCCTAAAGGGGTGGTACAACTGGCCCAAAGGTGCAGCCAATTCACGGTGGCCAACTGGCTAGACAAGATGGCCAACCCATGGTCCAGTCAAGCCGCACTACACCATAGCAAACTCAGGTCAAGGGCCATCTGTCAGATTTCTCTCATTCCTGTGTATATAATTATAGACGTTGAAAATATAGTGAACATGTAACCTTAGAAAAAATGAGTGACACCATGAATTCAAATCTGGGATAAAACTTACATTTCACTTTAATGTGGCAAGATTTAACTCTTAATGAAATGGGTGGGACCTATATGAAAAATATCATAGGGCAATATAAATGTTATCATAAGTAAATGTTCCTAACTAGGAAGACTTGAACGTTATAAATTGTCCCGTTCTTTCAACCAGTTTATAAATAAAGTGCAACAATATCCTTCAGAATCCAAACAGGAATTTTATTTTTTAAGTTGATGTAATGGCTCTAGAATTTACCTGGACCAATAAACATGTAAGAAGATCAAATAAAATGTACTAAAGAAGAGTAGTAGGGTAGGGGGAAAAGAGGAGAGGATACATGACTAATTCTGCCAGATTTAAAATGATAGTAAAGTGAAAGTACTTTAAAACTTGTTGCTCAGATATATCATCAGATTAATCAACAGATTGGTTGATGTGCTGGACAGCTGGTAGAGGGTTGATAAGTATTTATTGCTTATTGAACAAGTAAAATATAAATAGACTCAGAAACTTGGGGGAATTTAATATATAGTAACGGTGACATTTCAGATTTTAAGATTTCATTTATTTATTTGAAAGAGAGAGAAAGAGAGCATGATTGGGGCGAGGGGCAGAGGGAGAGGGAGAAGCAGACTCCCCGCTGAGCAGGGAGCCTGACACAGGGCTCGATCCCAGGACCCCAGGATCCTGACCTGAGCTGAAGGCAGATGCTCAACCAACTGAACCACCCAGGCTCCCCTAAAGGTGACATTTCAAATCAGGAGGAAAAGCTCTGCCATTCAGTGAATGGTATTAGAGCAACTAACTGACCATCTGAAAAAATAAAGTTAGATTCTTTGCAACACTTAGCAACATAAATTCTGAATTAAAAGCTTAAATGTATTATGCAGCCATCAAAAGGAATGAGATCTTGCCATTTGCAACGACGTGGATGGAACTGGAGGATATTATGTTGAGTGAAATAAGTCAAAAAGAGAAAGACATGTATCATATGATCTCACTGATATGAGGAATTCTTAATTGCAGGAAACAAACAGGGTTGCTGGAGTGGGGGGTGGGGTGGGAGGGATGAGGTGACTGGGTGATAGACACTGGGGAGGGTATGTGCTCTGGTAAGCGCTGTGAATTGTGCAAGACTGTTGAATCTCAGATCTGTACCTCTGAAACAAATAATGCAATATATGTTAAGAAAAAAAAAAGAAGAAGAAGAAGGTAGCGGGAGGGGAAGAATGAAGCGGGGGAAATCGGAGGGGTAGACGAACCAGGAGAGACGATGGACTCTGAAAAACAAACTGAGGGTTCTAGAGGGGAGGGGGGGGGGGAGGATGGGTTAACCTGGTGGTGGGTATTGAGGAGGGCACATTCTGCATGGAGCACTGGGTGTTATGCGCAAACAATGAATCATGGAACACTTCATCTAAAACTAATGATGTAATGTATGGGGATTAACATAAGAATAAAAAAATAATAATAATAATAAAAGCTTAAATGTAAGGGGAAAAGTTGTGTATTCAAAGAAAATATTGAATATTTATAAAATCTTTGGAGTGGGAATGGTCTAAGTATGACACCAAAGTAAAAGAAACCCCAAAGCAAAAGATTCGTAGATTCGACTACAAAAAAATGTAAAACCTCTCTCCGTCAAAAATAAATACTGAAAATTAGGAAATAGATCAGTGTCTAGAGAAGAGAGGAAAGATGGATGAAGCGCTAGTTTTTTATATACGTGTAATGTATTTAAGAAAATCAGTGCTACAAACAAGGTCACTTTGAATTTTATCTTTAATTGGCAAATATATCCCTGACATAATGTTTCAGAATCTTGCTGGAAATGGCGTCTTGTTTTTTTCTCTCTGGTGTAGGGAAATTTAAAATTTGTGGTGGATGGTGACACGCCTCTCATTGAAAATGGCAAGGTCGTATCTATCATAGCAGAATTGCTCTCCACCAAGACGGACGTGGTCGAGAAGGCCCTTCTCTACCGGACGGTGGCCACAGGGCGCGACATCATCGACAAGCAGCACACGGAGCAGGAAGCTAGCTACGGCAGGGATGCCCTTGCTAAGGTGGGATTTCTAACTGACATTGTTTCAGCCTGGGAATGCAGTTTCAGTGCACTTCCGTGAGGATGCGTCCAGACGTTCCATGAAAGTGGGCTCAGGCTTTGAGAACCCAGAGTGGTGCTTTTGGACCATCACAGTCTCAATAAAATGCCCTGACTGTGAGCATCACTCTCAGGAAGCGTTCTGAGGAGAGTGAATCCGACTAACTGGGAAGCTAATGACGCCTGCACGGGCCCTCTCACCGCCCTCCATTTTGCTTTGCCCACCAGTGTTTGATGAAGACTGACTCAGGTCAGCTGAGGGAGTTCTCATCCCTTGTGTTTTGTGTCTGTGTGGGGATGGTGCCATGAGTTAGTAACCATCCTCCCCTTAATTCATTCACCTGTTTCCTTTTTCTGCCACGAGAAAGAATGCTGTCATATCCTGTGCGTGTGTCCCTACACACCAGTGCTCTTATTCCCACTGGACAGACTCCCAGGAATGAGCTCACCACATCAAAGGACACGCTGATTTTAAACTTTAAATGGGCTGACTTTATGGGTGTATGGGAGTACCTCGTGGTTACTTTCATTTTCCTTGCCAGTGGATTTGAGCATCTTTCCGTATGCTTGTAAGGTATTTAAATACACTCTGGGAATCGCCTGGTGTGTCCTTTGTACATTTTCCTCAGGGCCGCTCGCTGTTTTGTTGCCTGTTTGTAAAAGCTGATCACTTTAACCCTTGGTCTGTTATCTGCGTGGTAAATGTGTTATGTTCCCAAGTTTACATTTCCTTGTTTTCTTTTTCTTTGTTGCTGGTTGATTAGATGGCCGCGTATTCCATTTTGACTCTTCTAAGTCCCAGGCTTGGTTTTTAGTCTCGAGAGGAATTTGGATTTATCCAAGTGCAGTGAAGAGTGGAGGATTCTAAGCAGAGGCAATGACAGCGAGTCTGCATTTTTAAAGCGATCGCTCAGTATGGTGAATCTTCTGTGGGTGGGGATGGAAGTAGGGAGACTGTTACGGGGATATTTCAGTATCCAACAAAGGTGACGGCAGGTAGTGTAGAAATGGGGAAAAGAGGATGATTTGAGACGGGCTGTGTTTGAGATGTAAAATCCATAGCCCCTGTTTGGGGAACGATAAAATCAAGGATCGCTCCTAGCGTGGTCTGGCTCTAGCCTGCATCTCCTGCCTCATTCCACACCATGCTCTGCTCTCCTTCCTTCATTCCAGCACCTTAGTGTTCTCTCAGGCCTTGCAGGTTGTCTCTATCCCTTCCTCCTTCCAGCCACAGGGCCTCTGCACCGGCTGTCGCCTCTGCTTGGATCCCTCTTCTCTCCCCCTCTTGCCTCGTCAGCTCTTAGTCATCCTTCTGATCTCAGCCCACTTTCTCAGGGATGCCTTCCCGGCCTCTTGTGAGTTCCGAACAGGTTAAATTATCCTCCGATGCCACACACCTCACCTTCCGAGTGTGTGTGTGTGTGTGTGTGTGTGTGTGTGTGTGTGTGTGTGGTTTTTCCTTCATCCTACTCCCTGTGCTTTTGGAGACTGAGACCGTGAATATGTTTGCTTTAGTACTGTATCTCCAATAACCTGCCCAGAGTAAGCAGTCAGCTAATATTTGTTGAATGAATAAATTCCTACACTTCTGGAGCCCTTTGTTCATGCTTAGAAGTAAGGTAGGAACAGTTTTTCGAGGTGGGAAGAGCAAGAGTCCTGACAGCACATATGTTTGAGATGGCTGTGAGGCCTCTAGGAATATTGTCGGGTTGGCTGTCAAGCACATGAGTCTGGCGCTCAGAGGAGAGGTCTGTGTTGGAGTAATAGATTTGGGAGTAGTATTACATTACTACTGTTTAGCATCGAATGAGTTGACTCATAAGGTGTTAGAGAGTGAAGAGAAGAGGATCAGAGGACCTCCACCTTTTAGAGGTCAGGTGGAGATCTTAACTAAGGTCACCCAGAAGGAGCAGCCAGCGAAATTGGAGGAAAATTAAGGAGGTGTGGTGTCACAAATCCCAGAGGGGAGAAAGTTCAAGAAGAAGAAGGTGGGAAACCATATGGAGTGACGCTGAGTGTCTGAGTAAGACGTCTATATAGAGGCACAAGAAAGTGTCTACACTGAGATGCTTGGGGTCTTTGATGAGCCATTTCAGTGGAGCGGGGGGAGGTAATCAAAGACTGGACTGGATCGAAGAGTAAAAGGGAGGCAAAGGAGGCAGTGCGTGTGCATAAGTGCAGGTGTAGAGAGGGGTGGATGGAGGGAGTTGCTAACCATGTGTGTGCTAAAGACGTGGTACCATAGAGTGTCCTTGTATCAGGATGTGAGTGCGTGTGAGTGTGTGGTGCCTTCGTCCATGTGCTTCTAGCTCTGCGTATCCTTGGATGTTGGATGTGCGTTTGACTTTCTAAGAATTTCAAACTGTGGTCTTCAGCTCCGATATTTATGTAGCATTATCAATCAATATTTGTATTTTTAGAATCCGTAGAACATTACTGGAACATAGATATTAACTTGTTGGTTCCCCACTTTTTAATATTTGATGAAATTCACAATCAAGTAATGAAGTGACTTCTTTTATTTTTTTAAATTTTTTATTGTTATGTTAATCCCCATACATTACATCATTAGTTCTAGATGAAGTGTTCCATGATTCATTGTTTGTGCATAACACCCAGTGCTCCATGCAGAAC